TGTGTCCCACTTGTTGGTGATTCTTCACATAAAATAAAAAATTTATATCTTTATGTTTGAAGCCTGAAATGTGGCAAAAGGTTGAAAAGTTCAAGGGGGCTGAATACTTTCGCAAGGCACTGTATATACTGTATGGTCCATATATATGAGAATGACTTCTGTTTATGCACTCTTCCTTACAGAATCGAGTGGATTTCTTGCAACTGATGATGGATTCACAAATTCCTGAGAAGTACTCAAGCACAGATGGACAAAAGGAAGGTGTCAAAGGTACTGTACATATATTAATCTATTTATCATAATCCTTTAATTTTAAACTCCCAACCATCCATCCATTTTCCATCTGCTGGATGGCATTTTTCTTTTGCCAATTCAGGTTCATGGGGGAACCAGAGCCCATTCTGGCAAGCAACGGTGACAAGACAGGGAACACCCTGGATGGAGCACCAGTCTGTCACAGGGCATACACAGACACAAACACACTCACATCAGGGCCAGTGTTCCTAAAAGCCAAATAACCTACCAGCGTGGACTGTGGGAGGAAACCAGAGCACTTGGAGAAAACCAACGCAAACATGGGGAGAACATAAAAACTCCATGCAGATAGCACCACAGGTCCAGAATTGATTCCAAGGCAGCAATACTAACAGGTGTGCTGCAGTGTTTAATCTTCCAAGTATTTTAATTTCTCTGTTTCCTTTTTTTCATTTTTCTCTTCTTGTACTTTATCTGCATGCTGTTACAACTTATGTGGTATGTTGATTAAGGGTTGTATGTATATATAGTCAAGGTGTTGTATTTGAGCTTGCCATCAGAACCAGTGTTTGACAGGCAAAAAACAAAATTTGTGGTATTTGCAAGTGGAAATTAAATGCACAGTGAAAGCCTTTATTTAGCAGCATAGGCTATTCGGCACATGATTCTTTAAAAAGGGAATAGTAGATACGTTAATTGATTGTTCCTTGGAATAAAAAAATATTGAGCATTGGTTACATGGGTTCATAAGAACGCCAAGTGCCCCTGTTTGCTTTTTGAGTTCAGTTAAATTGCCATGGTTAGTTTATTGAAATTCTGTAAGAAGACTCCATCCAAAAAGGATGGTTCAAGTTGTTAAAGTAGGTAGCTGCATCAGCATGCATGGGCTGCAAAGGAACAAGTAAAGGTTTATTCCATGCTGAAAAGAGAAAAAAGAACCACATTGTTTCAGCTGTGGAGCCTTCTAAAAGTGTTCTTCAAGTTGGTTTTAATAAATGCAAGAACAGCTTAAGTTATTGGCCATACCCGACTCGAGTAATGGAAATTAGATGTTCTGTTTCAACAAACAGGAAACTAATAAAAATAGGTGTTCTGTGCATCAGTATATTAAAATACACAGAAAAATAAAAATATTAGAACCTTATTGTGCCATCATACTGTTCAGGAAATGTTGCTTTCATGTGACTCAAAGTAAAACAATTGTTTTTACAACAAACAAATCCATTTAAAGTGACCTGATGAATGTTTCTTGACCACTGCATTTGTGTTTTATGGTTCTGCAGCATTTTCTTCACTCATCTTTTTTACCCTAGGCTAAGGTCCTCATATTGTCTTGGTAAGGACAACAAAAAATATTAATGAGGAGCAAATACTATGAGAGAAATATAGATTTGGACAAGATGTGGGGTCATGATTGAACTGAATTCCTCAGAAAACTGTTGGGACTGACCTGGAATGCTACCAATAAGAGAAAGACTTTTGGTCTTTTCATAATTTAATGATCAGGAAGCAGAGGGTTTTAGATTTCTGTATCTGCTATCAGGAGATTGAGGACAGATCCATGTGTATGCACCAGTAAGAGAAGGAGCCAAAACCAAGAATCCCTGATTTAAAAGTTGGACTTTAATTTTGGAAAGGCATTATATTCTAGTTCCAGTAAAAAACTTAGCTGCCTGGTTGTATGTTTAGTCAAGGACAAAAAATGCCGGTCAGAGCTTAATAAACGTACCCTTAATGGAGGTTAAATGACTCTATTGTCTCAGAACATTTGTTGTACACTAAAGGACTGAAAGGAAACAAGACCAGTTCCCTGAGATGTCACAATACAGTATATTCTTACTTTTCATTTATATTTAATATACTTTCAGATACACTCAATTTTGTTTATTAACCTATATCAATTTTGTTCTTTGCTACATTCAACAGGTCTAACCATGAGATTCTGTCTCAGTCCCTGATTTTTGTTTTTGGTGGTTATGAGACTACGACTTCTCCTTCTTAGCGTACAATCTTGCTACCAACCGTGATGTCCAGAAGAAACTGCAAAAGGAGGTTGATGAAGTCTTCCCAAACAAGGTGAAAGAATACTGTACAGTTCAATAGCTTCAACTCACCTTACAGGCAATAGGTGTCTTGAAATGTTTGTGAGATAAGAACATAAAGAAATATTCAACCCTTGTGTTTGTGTGGTTGCTAGTAGCTTATTTGTCTAAGAATCTCTTCCACACCGTTTGTTGAAGGATTCTTGAGAATCACCTTGAGCAATATGGCTTGACAGCTGTCTTCTAGTATCCACCATTGAGTAAAACTGTTGCCTTTCGTTTGACACTCTTCTTATTATCTAAAATCTTTATCGAGCATTGATTTATCTTTCAAATGTAAAGAAATAGCACCAGAACAGGGCTGGTCTCCATGGGGAAACGAAATCTCTCAGTACCGTTATCTTACCGAGATTTATTCCATAGCAGACTAAGCACATTTTGCACCATATGGACATTTCCGATAAAGTAAGATATTATGAAACAAACGATACTTAGACACCTCTACACGATGATGTTTAAATGTTCAGCACACAGATTTGTTTTTGTGTGTTTGTCTGTTATTGAACATATTGAGACAACTGTGTCCAAATCGCAGAAAATTGCGATTTGCAACCATTTGTAAGGCATCTGAAAATGGAATATGCTCCTGAAAATAAAATCAAAATGGGTTTTTGTATGTCGGAGAATTTATAAGACTGTGAAACATTGATAATGACTTTATGGTAGCAATAGAACTGCAGTTCAAGTAGTTAACAGAAGTGAGGGAAACAATTGACATTTAAATCTCTTCAGGACCATGCAGTTGAACTTTTCCATTGAAATATGAATTCTTCAAGAATGTATTTATAAGTCCTGACAAAGGATCTTTATAGTCAAAATACAGTCAGTGTTTTTTCTCTATTCATGCACATTCTTTAGCAGCCAAAGGGTTTATTTTTCTTGCCAGGGAAAAATTGAAACAAAGTTGCGAAAAAGTTTTAAATTTAGCATTTGCTTTATTTTGAGTTTTGATCATATTTTTCTCTTTAAAAATACTTCTGTTTTACCAACAAACTATTCTTCTGCAGCCTTTCTTGAACTGTAACAATTAAACCACAACCTAGGCTCCTGGCTGTTAATGAATATTCTTTAGTATTTGGCAGTTTTTCACTGTGATTAAATATGAAGAGGTTTTTTTGGGGGTATATACCTCAATGACAAAAATGTTTATAATAAACTTATGTTTTCCCTTCAAAGTATCTGAGTTGATAGACAACAGCCTGGCCATGTGACCAAGGTAGACACTCACCTATAAAATAATCCAAAGTGCAGCTGCTGCAGGGGTGACAGTGGGATTGCTGGAAGAGGACATGAGCTAATAACATTTTACAAATTGCTTGCTGCCATGTTTTCAAGGCTCCTGTGACATATGAAGCACTCATGAAGATGGAATACCTGGACATGATCATCATCGAGTCTCTCAGGCTATTTCCTCCTGCGCCTTGTCTTGAGAGGATGTGTAAGAAGACTGTTGAGATTAATGGGGTGACCATCCCAGAGGGAACCCTTGTTATGGTACCAGTGTATGCTCTGCACCATGACCCGCAACACTGGACAGAACCTGAAGCCTTCAAGCCTGAAAGGTGAAGTTTCACCTGACTTCCTATTTGGGAGGGTTACTGTAGATTCCAGTTAGAGAAAGTTTCCTACTCACCTGCTTCTCTACAATTTCTTAACCCAGCAATAAATGTCAATTTACCATTCAGTAAACTAGTAGTATAGAGTAGTCTAATGAAACCTGAGACTAACTTCATGGTGCTCTCACATGACATTTAAAATGTAATGCAGAGGTGAGTTAAACCTTTGATTTCATGTGTACCTTTTAATTTAGCAGTGGCACTTATTGTTCTGTTATACCCAGGTGATATTTGGAATCACCAGCTGTGTGTTTTTCAAATCTCATCTCATGGCTGTGAGCCTTGTGACCTCATACAGGAGATATTAAGGAAGTGTTACCAGACTCCTCCGATCTGCCTAACTTCAATCTATTTTTCATAGAACACATCATGGGCACCACAGCCCCATACCAGTTCAGTGTCGACTGGAGAGGCAGAGAGAGGTGCCCAGAAGGCCTCTAGAGTCACTGTATATACCAAGAACTGAAAGAGCCCCAGCTGACTATTCCAATTCAACTCACATGGAGACTCACAGTCACAGTTGGCTAGTGATATGATGCGGGCACAAACCCGCAACACGGCATTCCTGTATTACAGAGCTAAACTTACATTCATGAGTGTCAGTCTACCTGTTGAGCCACTCAGGAGATCAGATCTTAGTTTGGTTAGGTTCAAGTTTATCAAAATCTAAATGCTGCTTAATGCATTATGTATATACGTTTATCTGAATTATTCTGAAATTCATCATCTACCTGGTATGTTTGAAGATTTAGCAAAGCCAACAAGGATAGCATGGCTCCCTATGCTTACTTGCCATTTGGAACTAGACCTCGCAATTGCATTGGAATGAGGTTTGCCCTAATGGTTATAAAACTGGCTGTTGTGCAGCTGCTTCAAAGGTCACAGGGGAGCTGGAGCCTATCCTGCAAGCAATTTGCACAAGGCAGGGTACACCCGAGATATGACACATAGACATGCATGCACTCACACCTACAGTATGGTCCATTTTTCCAAGTAGCCCATTAAGCTAACAGTATGTTTTTGGAATGTGGGAGGAATCTGGACAACCTGGAGAAAACCCACGCAAAAACACAAAAACTACACACAGATAGCATTTCATGTCTGCGATTGAACCCAGGATCCAGTGCTGCAAGACAGCAAGGCTAACTACTGTAGTGCCCTATTCTGTTCATATTTGTTTTAATCTAATTACATTCTTCAGATGTTAATGTCTGGCAAATCACTTTTTAATGGCCTTGCAGTCTGTGTAGTAGCTGTGCCTTTTCAGTACTTGGCTCTACAGGATTCTGGTACTGTACATTTGCTTGTCATTTTCCATCCCAATAGTAGTTAGCTGGCTGCATAAGAGTGCCATGGTGGTCAGTAATTATTGAGATTTTGCCAAATTGGTCATGCTACTAGTGGATGTTTTTAATGGTGTAGACTCATCACGAGAAAGATCACAATTAAAAATAAATTAAGAAACTATGAGACTGACTTCAGTGAGCATTCATTTTGGTTCCATTTAATGTCACGGAAAAGCTGTTTTTGGACTGTTTCTTTGATAGTCTCATTCCTTGGAGTAAGCTTCAGTAGTTTAAAGAACTAAATTAATGTAAATTAGTCATTCCAGTTGTCTTTGTCAAAATCTTGCTTTTTGATGTTTGCTATTTTAACAGAAATCTTTTTGTGGATCAGAATTTACTTAATGTGTGGCATAGTTTGTATGTCATCCTTGAGAGCAATACTGTATGTTCTTTCAAGACATGCAGAAATAATGGTTTTTGGTTCTGTATTCTTAAAATAAAAATTTAATTCCATACAATAATTTACTACACATCATGTTTGCTGCTGCTTATGTTTTTTTCCAAATGCATTTTTAAAATGATACCCTGTTTTTGTCTGCTATTATTTATTGCTTTTTCAGGTGCCTGTTGAGATGATACATTTATTTCAGCCAAAAAAAAACATAATACTTAATGCTTGTCCCACGAACTCCAGTAAGGGCTGATGAATAAATGCTGGACTGGAAGTGAATCAGAACAGAAGACTTTCTTTTCTTTTGTTGATCAGATAACTTTTTACCTGTCATACAAAATAATCCAAAAGTTCTTACTGTGATGCCACCTAAAACCAAGTTTCAAATAAATTAATCAGCAATACTCTTTTCTAAAAGTCACAAGGAGAAATTTGAAAGTACAAGAAAACAGAAAATGTTATCATTCATCCCTGTCAGTACAGTTGGTGTCTAAAAAGGATGAATGTTCAACAGCGAACGATGGTAATCTGCAATATCTGACATCATTGTATTGTTTTTTACAGCATGCCTGTAAATACTTTAAATATTGGTAAACATTGATTGTTTTACATTTTTAATTATCTAAGATGTCAGATTTCAATAAATAACACTTTAAAAAACAAAAATGCTTGTTCTTTCAAAAAATATTCTTCTTCTATAACCATTGTTATAAAACCAGCACAATATATATTTTTCCATAAGACAGATGAGGCTCAAGACAAAGGGGACTCAAAAAGAAAAAGGGTTACCTGCTAATTATGTACAATGTTGTTACTTAACATATGAGCCATGAGCCAGAAACAGCAGTCAGCAGTTTAATGGGTTAAATACCTTTGATCCACTGTGCTTAACACCTTTAAATCAACAAGAGCAGAGGTTATGGCCATAAGATATGACTTTGGTTACGTATTGCAGATTGTAATGCTTTACATAGGGCACCACCTCTGACACAGAGTCTGAGTAACATTGCAGAGGTTTTAAAGAATGAGGTAAAAGTTTTTAAAACACTTCATGTACATAATGTTTTTAATTTCCCAATAAAGTATTTTAATACATATCAGTTTTTTTAGTGAAGAACCGTTTTTAGACTTTAAATTCTAAAAAGACTAAAAGGCTCTTGCTGTTGTTTCCCAAGGCATTACCATTTAGAGACCAATAATAGTAAGCTTTTTGAATGAGTAAAATTATTGATATATTAAATGTATACAATAAACCCAAATCAGGAACCACAGAATTTGAGTATGCATGGTTGTCTTTGCCAGATTTGGCAACCACAGAAAAAATATTTTAAAATATACTGTATATGGTTTAGTTTGTGTTGTGTTGCGTGGGTGGCAGAGACCAGACAGTGTTATAGTATTTGACAAAAGTTTATTAAACACTAAACAGTCAGTGTACTGGGACACCACGCACTCATCCCACTAAGTATGGTGACTTATTAAGTACAAACATTAAGAAGTGTTTTACAGTGTGGGAACCATGAAAACCAACTGCTTACTCAAGCTGCACTCATATTGGATAATGCCCCAGTCATACTGAAAAACTTGAATTGGCCAACTCAACACTTAAGTCATCTTCTTATCCCTAAACATAACAGATCTCATTTAGCCACATTTCAAGAATTACACATGCTACATCTTGGACCTTATTGAGAATGAACCTAGACTTACAGTCAAATATTGTCGGAAATTGTACAGCATTGTGAATTCAGTTCCATTAAAGAGTGACACATTCAGCTCTTCATGGATATTTGTGTATACTTTAAACAGATGCCGTGGATGACTTTGACTGTTTCACTTCATTTGATGTACAGGTAAAGAGGATTGTGGGTGCTGCACAATGATTGTGATCTGAAGGCTTTGAAGACAATATCGAATTCTGGACCCACACTTTTAAGTTAAAGGACGGAGATCTCTAAGTGCTCATCCATAGGTCTAAGAATACGTCCTTTAAAACAAGGACAGAAAATGAGTCTAGTTGAAAAGCTCAAAAGACTCAAACTTCTTTATAAGGAAACATTTACATCTAGATAGGAGAAGCATTTAAATAAAGCGATTTTCTGTTAGGATTGTATAATGAACTAGAAAGACCTCATTTTTGGTCTCCACATTCACAATCAGCACAATCAGATACACTTACAGGCTTAAAAGCATATTCTATAATGACAGACTGAAACAGCTGAATCTTTTTCGGTTTAATCAAATGACCCTGAGGGGCCATGATGCAAGCATTCAAAATCCTGAAAGGATAGACAAAAACAACCCAACAAGCTTCTTCAGGATCAAGAATGAAACTCGAACCAGAGGACACAGGTGGAAACTGTGTGGAAGTGTAGTTAAAATGAAGAACAGGAGGAATTACTTTTTTAGTTAAAGGCTTTGTTGGAGTGTGGTATACGCTACTCCACCATATTTCTGAAATGGATACCATGGTTTCATTCACACATGGATGGGATAGTTGGATAGCTTAACTGCTAACTACCAGATGAGTTACTGTAGGTGGGCTAATTAATCATTATAATATAGAAGGAAAATTGATCCAAATTGATTGACAGCAACATTACGATCATGTAGCCTGGTCTCCTCAGATCACAATAACTAAGCAATATCTCAGAAATTGATTAGTAGCGGGATAACAGACCTTCAAAGTAAATGAGTTTGCAGCTGTAACTGGTGTTAGTGGACCAGTAGGTGGTTATCTTACCAAACGTTTCAAACCAAGGCTATACTTGGCTATACTTTATTTTAGGCTATAGTCTGTTATATAATAAATTGAGATCCTGAATAATTGGTCATAAAAAATGACATTGTTTGAAAGAGTAACAGTGATAGTGTCCACTCTAGGCCTTACATATACTAAACGTTTTCCTTTAATTTAAAGCAATAAAAAAGAAATAAATAATAATACATAAGTAATTCAATTTTTAAGTATATATATTTGTGTATGCACTGCAAATTTCTAGGGGAAAATATATTAGATAATCTATGTTATAAAATAAGGTGAATTTTAAATCTTCCAATACAGTTTCTGTTGACAGACCTTGTATTCAGCTTTGAGACTAAATATTATTAATTCTGATTCATGGGTACCAAGAAAACCCATGTGCATGAGGTGTTCAAATTCTAGTGAAATGTGGATTGATGCTTCAGGGTATGGACATTTTAAAGCATGAAGCACGCGAATAGCAGAAATTTGCATTGGTAATTATAATGACATTGAGTTTAGTTTAATGGGGTGCTGAAAAGTCAAACTGCAAGATGCCTGCAGGGTTAACTATGACATGTTAGCTTGTCCCATTTGTAATGTTTGACTTAAAAGAGCAGTTTTTTAAAGCTTTGTCATGTATTTATATATAATAGACCATACAACAATTGTTCCTGTTTACATTACATTGTATGAGTAATAATTAATAATTCCTTACACTTATTTAGCAGTTTTCAGGACATCCCACTCAAAGGGTCCCCAAAGCTTTACAGGTAATGGGGACTCCCCCCCACCACCACCAATGTGCAGCATCCACCTGGATGATATGACAGCAGCCATAGTGCGCCAGAAAGCTCACCACACAGTTATTAATGGGGAGGAGAACAGAGTGATGAAGCCAGTTAAGAGATGGGGATACTTAGGATGCCATGATTGGTAAGGGCCAATGGGAAACTTGGCCAGGACCCCAGGTTACACCGCTGCTCTTTTCGAGAAGCTCCCTAGAATTTTTCATGACTGCGGAGAGTCAGGACCTTAGTTTTACATCTCATCTGAAGGACGGTGCTATTTTACAGTATAGTGTCCTCATCACAGTGAGCACCCACTGTTGGCCCCACTAACACCTCTTCCAGCAGCAACCTTAGTTTTTCTCAGGTCTCTCATCCAGTTACTGACCAGGCTGACACCTGCTTAGCTTCAGTGGGCTGCCAGTTGTGAGTTGCAGGGGATGAGATGTCTGCTGGCAAATATCCTTTGCAGTTCTCACTACAAAATTCCAATTTTTTTCTTGTCTTTTTTTAAGTAAACACAAAAAATAATCACGAATCAGTTGATAATTTCAAGTTCACAACCCAATTATTTTAGCTCAATTATCAAAATGTGTTTTTGTCGAATTGTTTTCTATGAGAAACCCATCATTTTTATTTGGTTTTCTGGATCTTATAAAGTCAGGAAATTTACAATAATCAATATGCTAGAATTACAATATAACCACTTCACAACCATTTCTGTATAAATACTGCTTGAGACGGTACACATTTTTTTAGATTTTATCTAAGTGTTACAATGTATAATTTGCATTAGAGTCCTATATCTTCTTTTCTTAATAGCTCTTACCTTTAAACACCCATTTTCAAAGCCCTAAGTTTCTTTGACTCTTCCCTAAGAGTTGTACAAGTACAGTGAAGAACAGCCTGTTGTAACAGATGAACAAAACTTTCCTTAGTTGATCTGCATGCTTAATGTATGCACTTCTTGTCTTCCAGCTGCATTGTCTTCACTATTACACTGGATTATCACAAAGCTTCATTCCAGCAGCTTATTAGTTCATGTAATGTAGTTGAATTTTTCATCTTGATTAGGCAGCTCTTTTTAAAAAAAAGAGATATGTGTATTTCATATCAAGCCTTAGAAGCTATCTATATTCTAAATCAACCTCTCTTACACATTCCTTCCACTTAAAACTTAAGTTGAAAACTGAATGTTATGATAATTATGGAACAGAGAGCAGCTCTGTTACATAATTATCATGACCACGATTACCAGGCTACTGACTGGCACTGGTTCAGAATTCAGGTTCTAGAACCAAGCTGTCACTGGTTCAAACCTGGGCCATAATACCAACAGTCTGTGACTGGAATGTCCCAAGTGGGGCTGCATCAATATCAAGGAATATCTCAGAGTAGGGTGTGCTTTAGAAGGCCACGTCCTCTTGGCATGCAGACAAACATGTCTGGGCATAAAAGGCCTCTGTGATATCTGCAAGGGATGGGTCACTCCACACAATTACTGCCATCCGCTCTGTAAAGCACTGTAGAGCTTGCAGTCTGTTAAAAGATATCCAGGTCCTCATGCACTTAAGCAGTACAGTAGTTGTTTCCAGAAAGCTGAGCCTTAAACATTTGCTGATTCCATTCTGGGTATGTATATAATACAAGAGTAATTGGCAATTCCAAAATAATATAAAAGAAACAGCCCCAGACCTACCATACAGACCTCTTAAAAGAATTTGAAAATATACAATCTAGATTTAACTTCCAAAATGGTCTCTTCTTTGTTATTTACTAATTTTTCAGATGTCCCCAATAATGAAGAATTATGCAGATACTTCGGTATGAATTCTGTAGATGAAGGTGAAGAGGACCAGGAAGTACAATTAAAAAGTGGGACTGAGTGAGTAAAAGGAAGTGATCTGCTCTGACAGTTATAGATTAAATTAATATGCAATGATTAATCTGTTTTTATCATGCTCTGTTTATTATAAGAGGCATCTTAACTAAACAGACAGCCAATACTGCCTTTATGAGTTGATAAACCTTTATATTTAATTATAGAAATTTATGGAAAAGTTCAGCTTCTGTTTTGTTATTACATTTTAGCTGATATTAGCCTTTGCTAAAGAATGTTTGCATATGCGTTTTTAAATGGTTTAAATTGTTTAAAATAGCATTCTCCTTTTTTAAAAACATTTGTCAGGTTGTTACAATATATGATTGTTGCCTGTACACCCTTCTAATTCAGAACTGATTCTTTCCATTATATATACTTAATATACATAGTACACTAAAGTGATTAACATCAAGAAGCTTCTTAGAATCTCTTTATTCAAACACTTTCTTAAACTTTAACGTCTCTTTCTTTCTTCCTTATTCATAGTGCTGTGTTAGTACAAACAAAAAATGTTTTTTTCTCACAGCGAGCAAAGTTGAACGAGTCTGTAATCTTAGAAAGGGCATTGCAGTGGCACAGTGGTTAGGCATTGCTGCCTCTTAGCACTGGGGTTCTAGGTTCAATTCCTGGGGTGCGGTCTCTATGGAGTTTTCCTGTGTTCATGTGAATTCCCTCTGGGTGCTCTGGTTTCATCCCACAGTCCAAAGTTATACTGGTAGTTAATTGGCTTCTGGGAAAATTATCTACAGGATGAGTTCCCTGTCTTGAGCCCATTTTGTGCCAGAACAGGATCTGGCTATCCCATGACCCTATATTGGACAAAGCAATTAGAAAAAGGATGGATAGAAAATTAACAAAAAACCATGGCATAATGGCAACCTAAATGGATTAGCATAAAGTTCATCATTTTTTATTCCATTCAATACTCGATATTTGAGAGAGTGTTAAGTGACTATATAGTTATGATTAATGTCTTTTCAGAGTGGTCCACAATCAATTTGAAGTAGGGCAAACAAATTAAAATTAAGATTACAGTAACATATTTTTATTTTCACTCTATTGTGATACACGAATGAATTTTGTGTCCTTACTTCTAACAATATACAGTAGCATGTGGGACTGTGTTGCCCAGATTATGTTACACACTGTTGCATAAGGCATTGCTGATGCAACTTCATTCCCAGGACTTTTCCTTCCTGAATTACCAAATCTTGAGTATTTTACCCATTGAGCCAGTTCCTGTAAAGAAATGTAACAGGGGTGTAGCTGGTCATCAGACAGGCAGAACTTATTAAATGCTGTAATGGCATGTACATATTACACCTACAGTATGTGTGAAAATCCTGTTACACCGCTTAACCCCAGTATATAATTTTAAAAGATACATTCAATCAAATTTTTAATCTGTAAGGCCTTAAATAATAACACACACCCTCCGTAGTGTTTCCTGTTATAATTAATTTTATTTACAAAAATGTAGAATGTAGATTCTGGATATTGATTAAATGTTTTTGGTGTCATTTTAATCAACTGCTCATTCATACCCATTAAACACTGTCACAAAAGCTGTCACCTTCCTTACAGGAATTAGCTCAATGGGTAAAATACTCAAGATTATGTCATTCAGGATAGGAGAAGTCCTGAGAATGAAGTTACATCATCAATACCTGTTGCAAAAGTGTGTAACATAGTTGTGCAACACAGTACCACATGCTACTGTATATTGTTTAGAAGGACACATGACTCATTCATGTATGACCATAGACTAGAAAGTAAGATATATTACTGTTATCTTGATTGTTTTTTAAATTTCTCTCTAGACACTCAGACTCCAGCATGGATAACCATGGCCAAGTACAGAAAACTAAACTCTCACCTTGCTCAAGTTTGCTTCATTGCAACAACCTTCCCTGCTGCCTTTAAGCACCACTGTACAGTATGTCATCTTGTGTGTACATCTTTGGTGGGAATGGTGCTGTCTACGCAGAAGTTAATGTAGTCAGTAACACAATCCACCATGTTGTCTTGCACAGCACATCCCAGTCTGGAGCCTCCAAAGCACCACGTAGATCCTCCATATCCCCCTGAGACCATCTCATCACAGTCCTCATGGTCGCAGGTTGGCTCTGGACAATAGGCTTGTATAGTGCTTTAAGCAGGACAAGGTTGTGATCTGATCTGCCAAGGAGGGGAAGGGCTGTGGAGCTATATGTGTCCTTAGCACTGGCATATAATAAGTCCAGTGTTTTGTTTTGTTCAGACGTGATTAAAGTCCCCTGAAATATCCATAAAAGCGCTAGGGTGTTTTTTTTCTAGCCTGGCTGCGACTGTGTGAATGACGTCGTGTTTTTTTCCGTATTTGGATACAGTTCTGATAGCTTACCTGTTGCTACAGTATAGGAAGACTCACAGAAGCCATATCAGACAGGTGCTTTAACTACCTGTCATCTAAAATACATCCATACAAAACGATAAAATAGAAAATAAAAAAGCCCTTTCGGTTACATTTTAAACGGTATTTTACCAAGTCCCTACTGTAACGTAAGGCGAAAGAAAACACAACCACTGCCTTACCTCTTTTACACTTACAAATAAATGAAGAAAAACTATACCTGAATAAAAAGTCCTATTAAAGGGAATCGGGTGGTTCAGAATATTAGAGGAGAATAATTAATGTATTGTTATACAACCTGCGAATCTAGATCTGAAGTTAGTTGCCATGGAGCGGCGTAAAAGGATAAGTAAGGGATAAAAGGAAACCTATCACCTATTTTTTCTGTCAAGCCCCACCCCAAATGACACATATCTCAGAAGGTTTAAATAGTCCCAACAGCGACTGAAAATCACGCGAAGACGAAAATACCGTATCAACAACAGTTAAAAAAGACTTAAAATAAAACAAACATGAGCTACTTTCCATCTTTTTCAACAGAGACCTGGGCTCTGCTTGTTTTGCTTCTAACCTTGCTGATCGTGTGAGTATTGTCAACACTATTTCGTTGAGGATTTTTTTTTTTGTCTGCGGTTTTGCATTAAATGTTTAAGTATATCGAGGAGGGCTGCCACTTGGCTACGTTATTTGTCGGTCAGTTTAAGAAGGAACATTACTTTTTAATGTTGCTCTAAAACCTAAATAAATTCATGGGTAAGTTGTGCGTTAAACGTTTATTAAATCGATATGTCTTCATAAATACTTTGCGGGACCTCACATAAAAAGTGACATTTCTATTCTGTCCATATAGTAAATAAAAACGACGGTTAATTTTTTGTTGCTTACATTTTACTTATCGCTCTAGTTGTTCTACACTGTAAGAATTACGTTTTACGATTTGCGAGTTTGCTCATTATTGAAGTTCATTTTTTGAATTTGTGTATATTGTAATAAATAGCATGTGTATACTGTCTTAATCCTAGTGTTTTTCAGCATTAACACAAACTTGTTAAACGTACCTGTAGGAGGTAACATATCAACATCAAAAGCATACAGTATGTCAAGCCGTAGTGGTTCACAGTTCAGATATAAGCACCAAGTCTCGTGTTGTACTGAATGCCTGCCCTCTGAAATAAAAGGGGAAAAGCACCAACAGAAAAACTTTCTTGAATTTGTTACACAGGTTTCATATCAAACAAACAGTAAGGCTGAAAAGGTGATAGCATTGGTCACTGTAGGTTAATTAGCAACCAGCTTGCAGATGTTTTATATTTGTTTTTTATTAAGATAAAACGTTTTCCATAATTATAAACAATGGACAAAGTCCAAAAAGAAGAATGCACAACCCAATTATAAAACAAAACATACACCCACTCACCTCTCCACCCTGCAAAAAAGAATCTAATATATAACATATAACACATCCTAAAAATGTGTATATATATATGTGTGTGTTTATATATTATTTCATATTTATGTTTCTTGGAGTGGAAGTTTATATTTAAATGATCAAATTTAATTTACATTTACAAATTAATCATTAAATTAAACAAACAAACTTGTTGATTTAGCACACAGCTGCACATTATTCACTGAACTATCCAGTTAGTAAACTGCTTTCAGTTAGTTAAAATAAACCCTGTATGTCAGGTATTGTTGCTCTTATTTTTTATGGAAAGTCTTCTTCTTTAGCCTTCATCCAAATATATTATTTTAATCTGTGCTGAAGGCAAAGTGTGTACTTCACAGTCTGGTTTCCTTCATTTGATACATACAGGATTCATCATCAGGATTCTATTATAATGAAAAATAGGGAGAAACATGGACGTCTTCATGATCATTATAAATCATTAGCCTTTTAGATATGAGTTGTTACTAAAATACATTATATGAGTATTTATAATTATATGAGTTACTTAAACAGAAAAAAAAATAGTCTGCACACAGTTTAGAACAATGTAAAACCATTCCCTTCATTTCAGAGTATATTCATTTTCTTTAAAAAACAGTAAAGACTACTTCAAGTATGTACTGTGCATGTTTCAGCCAAACTGATGAAGTCAGCATATTGTACTTGTGTCTTACAGTATGTTCAGGTGAGTGTGAGAAGTGCTGACTACTTCACAACTTTGAAATGGCACTTTTTATTTATGCCTCTGTCCCCTTTGAGATGACTGCTTTGATTTTAACATGTGCCTTTTCTTTTGAAATGTAAGATATGGGTATTGGCCATATGGAACCTTCAAAAACATTGCTGTTCCCGGACCTAAGCCTCTCCCCTTTTTTGGAACATTTCTTGAATACAGAAAGGTGAGCTATATTGTATGTGCAGTGTTTTGCTGGCTAGGTAAGTGAAAATTAGTTAAATGTTAAATTAATTATTGTGCATGATTGCATGAATACCAAAATGAGTGACTTCACTTACATATTATGGATTCTATGTTTTTTGGTATCTTAAGGAAGGAAGGAAGGAAACTTAAGTATCTTAAGGTTGATGATTCATTGTTCATTTTGTTTTATCGGTCCTTCGTTGAATCTGTTCTAACCTTTACCCTGATCTGCTGGTTTGGCAACCTGAATTTGAGAAGCCAGAACAAACTGGGCATTCTTGTGAAAATATGTCAAAAGGTCATTGGTGCTGATCTTCCAGCCCTCTCCTCCATCTATCATACACATGTTTTGTGAAAAGCAAAATCCATCTGTGACAATCCTTCACACCCCTTGTTTAATAATTTCCAGTTAATCCCATCAGAACGCAGAAACTGACTCCAGATTTTAGTTCTAATTATTACCTGTAGCCATATTGTTGACACTTGACTTCCTATGCAAATATATATGTATATTGTTGTTATTGTTGTTCTTTTTTTCTGTCCATCTGTACACCAAGTCTGTTGCTGTAAAACAACTCACCCCCCCGGGGATAAAAAAGGCCCTCTCTCTATCATGCCATTAAGAACAAATTATTTCTTCTTTTCTCACTGTATAAGGAACAAATGTAATTATAAAACATCTTTTCTAGGGTGTCCACAACTTTGACATGAACTGCTTCAAGAAATATGGAAAATTGTGGGGGTGAGTTTCGTAAATGTGGATAAGCCTGGAGGTTTTTGCAGTCCACAGACCGACCATACTTGTCAGGGATGTCACCATGTTTTTACTTACCTACTGTGCTACCCTAGTACATTTATAATTACATATTTAATCACAGAAGGGAAACAGATGTTGTCCGTCGATCTCACAGTGCTTAATGATGAGCTGTCCTTCTCTTCAGAGTTAAGAATTACATGAGCAGATTCCATAGTTTATTACTGCGTTCACTGATGCAGAAGGAAAACAGATTTCCAATGAAAAAATAGTGTTGGGATCACCTTCAGTCCCTCACTGTCAATGGTTTTTAAAGGTAGGAGTTCCTAACTAGTCCTGGGGGACCATGCTCCTGTTGGGTTTCATTCCAGCTGAGCTCTTTACTTTGAGTCTATAATAAAACTTGGTTTAAATCAATTTAATTAATGTTTCTCGACAAGTTCATAAAATCCGGAAATCGTGGATGACTTATCAAATGCTTTAGTTAAAACCTCCAACATATTTAAGAACTGGAAGTAAATAAAGAGTTCAAATGAATCCTGTTGAGTAAATTACAGGTACAATTACAGAACTGAGAGCTGAAATGAAAACCTGCAGGTACAGTATGTAGGTCCGAATGACCAGTTTTTTTTTCTATGAAAGTTGTCAGGTTACTTGTTTGCTGCAAATACTGAAAATACTGACACAAGACTCCCCCCAATATTTTTTACAATGCAGTTTTTAATAAGTGAGATTTAAACTTTTAAAGGAAATCTGTAAAATGGAAAAAGCAGATTTTTTAAAGTACTAGATTGTTTATTTTGTTTTCCTCTGTAGGTTTTATGATGGCAGGCAGCCAGTAATGTCCATAATGGACACTGCAATGATCAAGACAATTCTGGTCAAGGAGTGCTATAGCCTCTTTACTAATAGAAGGGTAAGTCCCACTACTTATCACCTTTTCTACTTCAGCCATTATGAAAGCTTTGGGGAGCAAAGCTGAGCACTCTCATACTGTACATATCCACCTGTTTTAATTAATACAATTAATTACCTTACAGGGCTTGGAAGAATATCACTACACTTCTAGTACACTTCTAGTAAGTGTGTCCTGAGCACAAAACACCAGGAAATTGCAATCCAGTACAACACAAAACTTTTTATTCACAGTACAGAGAACACAAAAGACAAAGCAAACAAAAATGTAATTCTTGTCAAGCTCCTGTTTTCTGTAGTCTCTCTTGCATAGTTCTTCCTAATAATACCTAGGCAGTTAAGCTGCTTATGACATGAAAACCAAATACCCGATCTTGCAGATTTCATTACACATGGGTCTGTCAGTAGCTTCCTTCTTCACTCTGGTACTGAGTACAGAGGTCCTATTCTCTTTCCTAATCGGGAAATGCTGGAATGGATCCTTCCATTTTCTGATTTTTTGTTTTTTTTACCTGGCCAGTTATCTTTCTCCATTTGGTCAGGAGACAAAGGGCAGTAGTTCATTTTTTGCTACTTTCTGGGGAATGAAGTTCAGACAAAATGTGACCTCTTGTCTAAACCTGCCTTCCGATTACTACTATATATACAGTATGTGGAATTGAATCTTGGTCTATGAATGTTTTTGTTAAAAACGTGTCAGATAAGTAATGTTTCATGAATAAATTGGAAGAAATTACAGTATTTGCTCAGTTCTTTCCACAGACAAATGCAACATGTTTCCAGTGATATATCTGTTGTCTGGTTAGAATTTCGGTCTGAATGGTCCACTCTATGATGCCCTGTCTATTGTTGAAGATGAAGAATGGAAGAGGATGCGCAGTGTCCTCTCCCCATCCTTTACCAGTGGACGATTGAAAGAGGTCAGTGTTGTGTTAAGTGCAGTCCAATTCCATAATATGGCTGTGTGAACAGGTATCATATTAATTACATGGTATACAAATTGAATTTCTTGCATGATTATAAAACTTTAATAAAATACCAAGAGGTTATGTTTATTTAGTAACTCATTTTGTTTAATTGTTAGTGTTTTATTTGTGTTGCCATTGGCTTTGTTCTTTGTTCACAAAGATTTTACATTATAAAGCTGCAAACCTGATTGACATGGGATTCAGTCTGTCCAAAGTGTGGTAACTTTCATCAAACAAACTATGTTTGAGTAGCACATAAAAACAAAACACTTTACATTATTCTCACTTTGAAAAGAATAATAATGCTGTTTGGGGTATAACCGTACAAACAGTGCTGTTGTATATTGTATGTTCAAGAGTAAAACATTTCGTTGTTGTACTGAATCCTTTTTCCAATTTTTTTACAGATGTTTCCAATCATGACTCACTATGCCAAAATTTTGGTACAAAGTCTACAGAAGAAATCTGACAGAAATGAACCAGTACAAATGAAAGAGTAAGTAAGGACCATATGGTGGTATTACAGATATATACAGATACTGTATCTATATAGGCATACATGTCTGAATGTCACTCCATGTCAACCATACATAAGTTAATGTCTGTAAGTTAATTTGTTTTTCATAACAGTAGTCAAACCTGTAAGAATTTATGCTATAATGACATCTAGTGTCGTACTGCAAACTGAGTGAAAGGAATTTTTTATTTTAAGAAATTTTGAAAATTTAAACAAGACTTACAAAAACATACAAGAAAGAAACATACAAAACAGCACAGAAAAACAAACAGCTGGACAAAGAAAAACTTGCTTTTACCTTTTTAGTTTTCTTGTTGAAATAAGAAAAGAAATGAATTCCATGATAAAAGTGTTAATAGACTATTTGAATGTGTAAAAAAATCAGGAAAATGTACAAAACATGGTCTTTTTGAAAACCTTCATGAAAGGGACTCTGGAGCCTATAAAACCACTTTACAGTGCTTGTCCTATTGTGGATTGTGGAGATCATCTTTTTGAGGCAGCTCCTGAAACTAGGTATTAATGACAGATTTACATTATTTAACAGTATTTTTTTACCACAACCATTCCGAACAATCGGTGCTGATTGTTCTTCCTTTGTTAGTTTAAGAGCTGGCTCTGGGGAACCAAAGATTGTTAGGTCAGGATCTGAGGGCATATTCTTCCCAAGCAGGTTTAAGTAATGCTAAAATGATTGGGCTTTTAAACTGATAGGGTATGTTTTTTAAAATTTAATTAAGGGGAGGGTTCAGTTAAAAACAAAAAATTTAGATGCACTCATGTTTTGCTACAAAACATTATTCTGTTTTAGATTCTTTGGTCCATACAGCATGGATGTTGTTACCAGCACAGCTTTCAGTGTCAACATTGACTCTCTCAACAACCCTGATGACCCCTTTGTGGCCAATATCAAGAAAATGCTCAAATTCAACTTTTTACACCCTCTTCTTATAATTATAAGTAAGTCTCTATTTCTTACATTGTAGAGTTGGAAGCTGTCAACAAAGCAACAAACAACAGTATAGTAAATTCTATAGTGAAAAGTACAAACAAAAAGATAAAATACACATTTTGGGTGTGTAGCCTTCCTTGGGTGCGTAAAGAAGAAGGCAGGAATCGGAGACAGAAAGGGATGGGTCAGAGAATAAAAATAAGCAAAAGGTGACTGGAGACTTAAAAAATCACCTTTTTTTCAAATATGCATTGAAATAATTTGGAAATGTGTGATGCCTGAAATGACTAACTTGACTTTGTCTAAAAGATATGCTGTTTGTCAATCTCCAAATCAAAATAAAGGGAACATATTTTGAATTATGGTGCCCAGAACTGACCACAGTATTCTACGTGAGATCTTAGTGCATTCTAAATCTTAAGCATCACTGTCCAGCTTTTAAATTCTGTGGTTCTTACAATATATGCAATCATGCTTTGCTTCCCCACATTAGATTGAGAAGGACAAAAACAAACTAAATAAACAGCACATCCAATTTGGGTGTAGTACAGTATCTTGAAGTTCTGAATCCCTGCAATATGTGTATGTTCCTACTCTCAGTGAGCACTAACTGATCAAAAATGTAATTTACCACATGTCTGCCCAGTCCATATTGAAAATGATATTGATGGGTTGACTCTCAACAGAGCGGTGGCTCTGTGGCTAAGGATCTGTGCCTGTGGCTTGAAGGTTGTTGGTTAAAATCCTGTGGCCGGCTGAGGAATTCCTTCTCTGTTGGGCCCCTGAGCAAGGTCCTTAACCCCAAGTGCTCCAGGGGTGCTGTACAATGGCAGACCCTGTGCTCTGAACCCAGGCTCTCTCCCTATCTGTGTGTCTCATGGAGAGCAAGCTGGGGTATGCAAAAAGATAATTCCTAATGCAAGAAATTGTAAAGGGTTGTTAAAATGATATTATTATTATTATTTTACTCAAACATCTACTTTTTTTTGTTTAGGTCTCTTCCCTTCCCTTACCCCATTGCTGGAAAAACTAGAGGTTACTCTTTTTCCTCGCTCAGTAATGACCTTTTTCTATGACTCTCTTCGGAAAATAAAGGCTGATCGTCAAAAAAATGTTCACAGTGTAAGTGCTAAAAATAAAACAAATATGTTGGCTGCCATTTCAATTTATTTTATGCTTATTAACATCTTAATAACAACAATAATAAAAAATAAAAACAATTTCTGTGTGTTTTTGTCAATCATATCATTTGTTTCACCTTTAAAGTGAAAATGAAGTGAAAACCCAGAATGTGGCGATATCCTTCAGTGGGTCATTCAAGTATGCTGCCTCTGTGGTTTAAATGAAATGTGCTGGTGTGATGGACTTTGATTTAATGCAGTTATTAAATTAAACATTTTAATAATAAATCCTGTAAATGATACTTTCAACTGTTTGATTTTAAGACTTAATATTATTGTCTTTAACATTTTCATGGGCCTTTTCTTTTAGAATCGAGTGGATTTCTTGCAGTTGATGGTGGATTCACAAATACCAGATGAAGCAACTGAGACCAAGGAAGGAGAAAAGCCACCTAAAGGTACAGTGTAAACTTGGCCAGAAATGTGTTACACTCAATAATCTCAAATTAAGACATCTGCTTCTCTGAATCATGTTATCATTTTATGAGATGTTTTCTGATGTATGGAAACATTTCTCCCTCAGTTTTAGGTTTCAATTTTACTATCTTTGTTATGGCTGCGATGATATTTACAGACTCCTGATGTTGTTTAAATGAAATGCTAAATTGTGTTTCAGTTCTGTCTGTCTTCATTTTCTTCACCTTTTCTCTGCAGGTCTGACAGACCACGAGATCCTGTCTCAGTCCATGCTGTTCATTTTTGCCGGCTACGAAACTACAAGCTCAACTCTTTCATTCTTGGCTTACAATCTAGCAACTAACCCAGATGCCTTGAAGAAACTTCAAAAAGAGGTTGATGAAGTTTTTCCAAACAAGGTGAGACAGTTTTACTCAACTCATTCTATATTAATTTGGTTAAGTTTGTGTTTCTAGGCCAAGAAAATAATTCCATGTATCAGGAAATAACAAAATGCATAAAATGAAGATGTCAAGTACTGTAATTTTATCTAAATAAAGCAGCCATATCACTGCACTTCACAACTGGCAACCCACTGAAGTTAAGCAGGTGTGAGCCTGACCATTACCTGGATAGGAGACCTCCTGGGAAAAAACTAAGGTTGCTGCTGGAAGATGTGTTAGTGGGGCCAGCAGGGGGCGCTCACCTTGCGATCCACGTGGGTCCTAATGCCCCAGTATAGTGACGGGGACACTATACTGTAAACAGGCACCGTCCTTTGGATGACACGTAAAACCGAGGTCCTGATTCTCTGTGGTCATTAAAAATCCCAGGTTGTTTCTAGAAAAGAGTAGAGGTGTAACCTTGGCGTCCTGGCCAAATTTCCCAGTGGCACTTACCAATCATGGCGTCCTAATAATCCCCATTTATAAATTGGCTTCATTACACTGCTCTCCTCCCCACTGATAGCTGATATGTGGTGAGCGTTCTGCTACACTATGGCTGCTCTTGCATCATCCAGGTGGATGCTGCACATTGGTGGTGGTGAAGGGGAGTTCCCATTACCTGTAAAGTGCTTGAGTGGAGTGTCCAGAAAAGTGCTATATAAGTGTAAGCAATTATTATTATTAAAGGCATTGTAGATCTTACACCCATCTTAAATATGTTAAGACTACAATTTCCAGATTATACTTTCTACAGTATATTGAATTATGACCACACATTTAGCAATCAAAGGCATGAAATTCTGACTCTATGGCAATGAGTACATTAATGTTTTTATTATACTACACCACTGGTCTTACAATTATTTTAAAATCTACCATAAGAACATTTCTTGAAGACATAAGAAAGGTTACAAGTTAGAAGGGACTGTTGGTTCTGTCTAACGTATTTGGTTGGTTGTTGCTAATGAATCCAAAGATCTCATTGTGTTGTTTCTTGAATGAAGCCAGCATTTTATCTTCAATAATATATGTCTGTAAAATTCCTCTTGCTCTCAAGACATACTGTATGTAAAGAAATACCAGTGAAAGATAAACCTAGACAGTAATAAAAAACACTCCAGATGATAATTAGCTTCTTTTAGGAAAATGTCCCAGTGACAGGAGTAATGATAGCATTGCTAACCAACCTGATCAAAAAGGGTGGAGATTTTGGTAAGTGAATGTGATCCATATTGATCTGTATTGATTTAGAATTTACCTAGTAAAACCAAGAGTGAAATACATCAAAGGCAGTCAACATACAAATGGTTCACAAGAGTTGCTGAATTAAGCTTGAGCTCCGTTCATTTTACTTGGCAGCTGTGACTTAATTCCTCAAAGCAGTAGCACACAAATACAAGCAGCAGTGTGTCATTTGGAGTAGGGCCAGGAGTGACAGGCCAGGACGTCCATGGATGTCAATGAATGGGTGACTGTGAGTCCTGTTGTCTTGCAGTGATGTCAGTGATTTTCCTGACAGAATTTACTCTCCAGTCAGACTCTGTGGAGCATATCAAAAGATGAATGGATTTAATGATCAGGCTGCCTGGCCACCACCATTCTCTCCCTGTATTACAGCAAACATTAATGTGAGCCAAGAAATAAAAAAAAAACAATAGGTTGGGCATTTCTTAGTGAACAATTAAGAAGCACCTATTGAATGATCAAGTAAATGATCAATTATCCTTTCCTGTTTGTGCTCTTGGTAGTCTCCAGTGACATATGAGGCACTGATGCAGATGGAATACTTGGACATGGCACTGAATGAGTCTCTCAGGCTGTATCCCCCAGCAGGGCGAGTGGAAAGGGTTTGTAAGAAAACGATTGAGATCAATGGGGTGACCATCCCCAAGGGAATGGTCATCATGATTCCATCATATGCTCTGCACCGTGACCCTGAGCACTGGCCAGAACCTGAAGTCTTCAAACCTGAGAGGTAAAGTTGCTTAGACACTATATATACCTGAATTGTGATGCAACTATGGGTGGAGAAAATATGGTCTCTATATAAAATAGAAAACAGGTCTCTTTAGTCTGTGTAGATATAAACAAATCTGCATTATATCCTTCCATCTGAGTGATCTGTTTAAACAGATTTAAAAACTGTTCACTCAGCTTTTCGCATTTTTTTTTAGGTTTAGCAAGGAAAACAAAGAAAGCATAGACCCATATGCCTATCTGCCATTTGGAGCTGGACCTCGGAATTGTATTGGAATGAGGTTTGCCATCATTGTCATGAAAATGGCAATAGTGCAGATACTTCAGAATTTCAACATTGTAACCTGCAAGGAAACTGAGGTGAGATTGGCCAAAATAACTGAAATGTTTTTAACCTCTTTAATTCCCTTCTTATTTAAAATGTGTTATTGAGCACAATCTTTTATGTCTGCAAATAACTTATTAACATTTATGTAAAGTTGGTGTTCTTCATATAAATGCTTAAGGGTTATTTTTTAAAGATTGTATTTATAATATTTACATGTGTAAACAATGGAGAATCATATTAAAATCAAATAATTGTAGTTTGTCATAATGTATGCACCCTTAATCTAATTGTCTGAAGTTTGTTGTGTGTATTTAATTCCTCAATTCACTGTCTTTAAGTTATTATATACATTTGAATACAAAACTACTGATTTGTAAACCTTTTTCTTGTAAAGTGTAATTTAACATACAGTATGAAGAAATGTCACTCCTGTAAAAGAGCAATTTGGAAAGGATTATAGCAATTTATGACTTTCAATAATGTTTCCTCAGATCCCACTTGAACTGGATAATCAAGGATTCATCGCACCCAAAAGACCCATAACGCTGAAGCTTGTCCCTCGCACTCTACACCTCGAGGAATAACCAGCCAGTATCACCTTCTCTGGCATCTGATCAGCAGTTTAAATAATTAATAACAGACGTGACAGAATAATCAGAGAATTTTGGAAAGAAATCAGCTTTTTTATTACAAAAGGTTTCTACAGAAAAAATAAATGACAAATATATACATTTTATAAACATTTCAATGAGAAAATGAACCAAGATTAGTTTTTTAGATAAATTTGTTTCAAAATTTTTAGCCTGGTAGAAAACAGTGCTGTAAAACCATATACACCATACAATCAGTGCCTTGTATTTGTTTTTGGTTAGATACAGTATAGAGAAGGTAGTAGTAGGTTTTTTCTCTGTATTCCTTTAAATTTTGAAAACCATCTAATTATATAATGTTTCATCTTACTGAGATACAGACATCCACATGTCATTTTTAGGTAGGACAGTTTTGGTTTAATCCACTTGGTTAAATGGCAGCTGTCACGGAACAGTTCTTTCCGGGCCCTATGCAGATGACACAATCCAGAGAAGTAAGGAAACACTGGGGAAAAGTCATGCAGGAGACGGAAATGGAGACAGGGGGCGTGTCCTTGGTGCGTAGGTGTCCAGGGGGAGTGAGTCCGGGGCAAACAATCCAGGAAGAAGTCCAAACGGGGAATCCAAAACACAAGCATAAATCCATGACCAGGCGATCCATCCAGGAGATTAAAAACGGGAACTGGGTCGGGACCGGCAGGGGAAACAGGAACAGAAAGTTAAAAACATAACAGAGCCAGACGTATCAGGACCTGGGCTCACATGAACCGGGAGTCAGTGTAGAGCCCCAATTATCGTCTGCGTCTGGCTTTTAAGGGGGAACTGAAAAGGGGCTGAAATAAGGAACAGGTGCAGGGAATGAGGCAGAACGAGGAAGGGCTGGAGCGCCCTTAAGAGGAGAGTTAGGGATAGTGACAGTAGCCCCCTGGCCCTAGGACTAAAACTTCACTTTTTAAAGGAATATATTAAGAAATTAAAAAAATATAGTTCAAATTCTTCTTTCTCTGTATCCATTTATCACTGATAAAACCTTGGAAATGCTTGCTTTCTGTATGAAGATTTTAATGCCTTAAATTTAGTATGGAAGTTATTAACTGAAGTATTGTAGGAATAATGACAAGAAGTCAGACGCACTCAGCAGTTCCAAATCATAATCATTACTGAAATTAGCTACTGTATATACTATGTCCAGTACTAAATACTATATATAATTTCACATTTGTCTCATGCCTCCCACTTCTACCCCATCTCCATCTTGCAGCTACAGTTTAATGAATTACTCTCTCTAAATTGGTTTTTAGCCTCCTAGTCTTAGGGCCAAAGGAGTGCTCCCTAATAAAGTGGGTTGAGCCAAAACTATTTTTTTACCTACTTTTTACATAAGCCTTTGCCTAATAGTTTAAACCAGAAGCATACTACCTTGTTTTTTTGTTTGCGTTGAGTGTACACATTTTGTTCACAAATAAAACATGGTACTTTACCACTTGTCTGCAGTTGTATAACTTGAAGGCAAAAGCTGATAAAGAAAGTAATAGCAGTGTAATGCTAGGGTAGTGTTTCCTAAATTCATTTTCACATGTAGAATACTGTTTGTATATATATTGTGATTTTCTTTGTGTCCAGCTGGAATACCACAGGTTGTGATTGCAAGAAAAGCAATTATTGCATTTTGATACATAAACTACTAAAGCCTTCTAGGTATTTTAATCAATCCTGTAGGGAGCTACTTTGTTAAAAGGTCTAGCTGTATTATGCCCTGGCAAGTATTCCTCAGCTCTTAGTGCCGTAATGATAAGGCTCAGCAGGAAAGAGAGGATTCATAACCTTTTACATATAATAAAGCCCTGATACCTTATCAGGTATAGAGACGTCTTGTCACGCAACAGAAAACGAGTCTGTGTTCTCCTTTTACAAGCATATAAAACATGCCTCAACAAGTCCCTTTTCAAGCTCCACACTATATGTCTAAAGTGAGGGTTTTACACTAATAACTCACATTACAGCATTATTCCTGAGAATGTATTGGTAATAGAAATTAAACATTTAGGCACAGTTTAATTTAAGTTGCCTAATTAATCACAATTTAAATTTCCTTTTTTGCTCTACAACCATTATTTAATTAGTATCCTACAGTCACATTTGTTGAAAAATCTCCTGACTCGTAAATGTTATACAATAACAACATCACTTAGTTCTGTTGTGTAGTCTAACACACCCAGTTACCATGCAAATCTTTAAATCTTTAAATATCACTTTTGCAACAACCTGAAAAAAAGAATAATAAAATAGTGAGACTTGATATAAAAAGACACTTGATATTTAAAAAGATTAAAAAAGATACTGGGCATAAATGCTTGATACTTGATATAAAAGATACTTTATATAAAAATACTGAACAAAACTGATTTGTATTATTTTATTGGCTGAAGTCTTTATTCAAGTCAACTCACAATCAATGACGTAAAATATTAATACTAATTTTAATGTTCACTAATGTTTAATGTTAGTCTGTTCATGTAATAATATTGCATTGGATACTGGGCTGCACAGCACCAGTGAGATGGTTACAGTGCTACTCAGTGATACCCTAAACAACATCCACTTACACTTGTTTTATTTAGTTTATTGTATTGTATAACTGTGAAAGCACTCTGTGTCAACATGTGAAAGGTACTAAACAAAAAATAAACTTAATTTAATTAAATAATAAACAAGAAGGAAAGGAAGTCCAAAAGGGCAGAGCTACAGTAATCTGGTCAGCAGATGTTGTTAAAAGAAGTGTGGATCATGGACAATAGACGTAGTATGATGTAGGATGGTGATGATGATGATTAATAATAATTGCTTGTACTTATACAGTGGTTTTCTGGACACTCCACTCAAAATGCTTTACAGGTAATGGGGACTCCCCTCCACCACCACCAATGTGCAGCCCCACCTGGATGATGCGACAGCAGCCATAGTGCGCCAGAATGCTCACCACACATCAACTATCAGTGAGGAGGAGAACAGAGTGATGAAGTCAGTTAATAGATGGGATACTTAGGATGCCATGATTGGTAAGGGCCAATGGGAAACTTGGCCAGGATGACGGGGTAACTCTTTTCAACAAACACCCTTGGATTTTAATGACAACAGAAAGCCAGAGCCTTGGTTTTACATCTCATCCAAAGGACAGAGCGCTTTCTACAGTATAGTGTCCCCGTTACTATACTGGGGCATTTGAACCCACACAGACCACAGGGTGAACACCCCCTATTGGCCCCTTTAATACCTCTTCCAGCAGCAACCTTAGTTTTTCCCAGGACGTCTCCCATCCAGGTACTGCTGAGCTTCAGTGGGTTGCAGGGCAATATGTATTACATGTTATGGGGTGCAAGTCCTAACATTACTGTATACTATACAGCACAGGTCATCAAATAATAATTCACACACAATGTGCATTTTTGTTTTACGTCGCCTTATAAAGCCAATTTTGGACTAAAAATATTTGAGCAAGCTGTTTTTGTTGTCTTATGTGGTATATAAAGAAATGCTAAAACTATGTCTCAAATTTCAATATTGCAGAGAATGGTCCTGGGTTTCTTTGTTTTAAAAACAGCATTACAGTCTCTTTTGTATTTGAGGTACTTTTTTGTATTATTTACATTTTCCTCTTTCCCAGCAGTAAAATTTTTTTCCACATTGAGACAACAGCAACTGTTCACCGAAGGTTTGCTCCTGAGTCTAAATATTTTTCACAGGCAGAGGGGTTCTGTGAAGCGGTTTTTGAGTTTAAAAAAAAACGATCATTCTTAACTAAACCAAAACAAAAGACTACAATATTTCGGCATGGTATTTGATTTCAATCTTTGAGAATGTTTTAGGACTGATATAATACTTGCATTTTTCAGATCATCTTTCCATTTAACACAAATCCTTATTCATCGCTTGTCTCCAGATGTCAAAACTTGTGTGAACTTTTGGCCTCACTTTGTTTTCCTGTTTCACTTCCTGTAGCATTTACCATGGCAGGATGCCCATACAGGCTGCTGCAGACTTGGGAATAATCAAAACAGCCTTGGTCAAGGAATGTAACTCCCTCTTCATGAACCTGAGGGTATGACCCTGGTGCTTATTTACACTATATTGTAAGAAGAAAAAGAATACAGCACCCAGCATTTGTATTTCATGTACAGAAACATATACACAGGCTAATTACATTCAAAGACTGGATAGAAATGAACTACATGTCTAGCAATGCATTGGCTTCAGAAAAATAATCTAGATTCAATTGCATGTGATTAGTGAAGATGCACAGTAATTAATACACTTATTTTTCTTATTTGCCTGGATAGTCTCGTATAACTTGCATTTTGTTTTCAAGTTTAAAGCTGAAACATTTTAAAACAGGGGTAGAGAAACGAAGCTGCCCCTTACTGTCAGGACCGCCAACCTGCCCAGACCAGCCCCCAAAAGAGCTAACAAGTGCTAGCAGCGGGGCGATGATTACAAGCGCTGCCGCACGTGTTAACTCGGCACCAGACGCCCTAACGTGCGGCAGGCTGCAGTTTTAAGCCATTCAAACCCACTTCTTGTTGCTCGGTATTGAGTCTACTCTTTGCGAGCGCTACCTGGTGTTTATTCTGTACTGCGTATTCTCCTGGATACTAAACTCCCCTTTTGCCTCTCGACTTTGGTCCTTGCCTTTCGATTCGGATTGTTTGCCTCTATTTGTTCTTCCTGGATTTCGAATCACCTTTCTCCTTTTGACCACGATCTTGCATGACGTTCCGGATTGTTTGCCTGCCTCGACATTACCTACTCCTGCTCGCACAGGATCCACATATGTCTTCATTGCGAGTTCCTTAACTTACACAGGCTAAAAACAACGGACAAACTGCTAGTTTCTGAAAATCAACTCCCATATAGACTTTTGTTAAGTTCTTTGATATTTATGAATTTCTATGCCTCTAATGGAAAACATGTAATGCCCAGCGTTAATAGCACATGAAAATATAGAAAAAAAAAACAATATAATGACAATGCAGACATATTTGTTCATACTAGAAAATGCAGGAACTTGGAACTTGAGTCCAAAATTTAGTTTATAAATTTTATTAAATAAAGCATAGAAGATGCATACCTGTTCGTGTTACAGGTGCTAGAAGTGCTTCATGTTAAAAAAAAAAGTGTGCATTCATCCAAAAAAATAATGACAAAACCAAACCAATTATTGTCTAATAAGTAGTAGTTCTGGTGGTAGCTGCGTAGGCTGCAAAGGAACAAGTAATAGGTTTATTCCATGCTGAAAAGAGAACCTCGAGTTTTCATTCTTGTATTCAGTATATAGCGAAAGTATTGGTAGGGACAATATGCTAATTCTATGTCAGCACACAAAAGTCTTCTCACTGTAAAATCCGTATAATTGTCTAGATATTGTTGATCTTCACTTCAATAGCCACGCGTTGTAGAATCAGAAAACAAAATACAGCAGTTTTCATGAACGTTGCTGGTATTAATTGGAAGTAATTAAGTTTAATTGTTTAAAATTCCTGCACGACATAAGTAGGACTGGATATAATAGTGTACTGCGTTATTAGAGTGACTAGATTGTTAAACTCATGTCATGTAGGTTTTACATTATTTATGCTGAAAAGTTTATTCATAGTGAAATCTTTTCAAACTATGGTTCCAAAACACCGAGTCTTTAAAACAATTGAAAGATCCTGAGGGTCTTTTTCAAAAGGGCAGCTATGCATTTACGGTTCGTGCTCTCTTTCCCCTTTGATTTGTAGAAACAATATTGTGAATACCAGGCGAATTTGATACCTTTCAAATGTTCCACAAAGCCGTTTTTTCTTGAGAGTGTATATACTGACACCTTGCGGACTCCTCTGTGCTTTTCTGTGCATCTCTGTGTGCGTTAATTTGAGTTATCCATTAAAATATTTCTTTTAACTGCCGAGTTCAAGTGCACAGGTCTAGTGTGAATTATGTAAGAAAGGCGCAGTAAAAAAAACAAATGACTTCTTAGCGGTTTCTTTTTGATGCCAGGTCCACCACCAAGGAAATCCACTTTCCGGATTTTTCACTTCTCTTGTACCTTTCGTGTTTATAAACAGTGAAGCAGTAGACGGGTTACAGTTGCACTGACGTCACCGTCAAAGTCACGTTGAAAAAGTAGAACTCCGAAAACTACACTGCGTGGTTTTAAATCTCCTTTTTCTCAAAGCAAAAAAGGTGGAATTGAAATCCTACAACGAATCACCAGAATTTAATAATATATCGCGGTAAAATTGTTGTTTTTTCGTTGTAATCAAAGTTATGCCACATGTAATGCACGTGCTGTCCGGTTCCTGGAACTACAATAAAATTAACTCTTAATAGACTGTGCAACTTAAAAGAAAAACAAACTTATATTTAAGTAAATAAAATTCGTACAGGGGCTATTGATCTTTTAGGTACTTTTGTTCGGAGAGATTTTTTTAATGGACGGGTTAATGAACATTAATAATTAACTTGCAGTTAATAAGCCCGTAGTATGCCACTATTATAATCAATAGGTTTATTCCATGCTGAAAAAAAAGAAGAAAGAGAACACAACGTTTCGGCCGTGGAGCCTTCTTCAGCCTGAAGAAGGCTCCACGGCCGAAACGTTGTGTTCTCTTCTTTTTTTCAGCATGGAATAAACCTATTACTTGTTCCTTTGCAGCCTACGCATGCTGACGCAGCTACCCACCTGAACTATTATAATCAGTTGAATTGGTGACTTTTTCAGCCAAGACAATATTGCAATTTACTGTGTAAACAATGGATAGCTCTGATTATTTGTTGCGTTTGTGCGATGGTGGTGACACTATCTGTGCAGGAACTGAGAAGCAGACTTCCGCTGGTTCCTAATCCTAATACTCCGCCGCGGGTGTTTGCAGTAACCCGATCCATGTTTCATCTTTTCCTCCAGCAGCAACAGTGAGTTTCTCCTGGTGGTAGCGCTGCAATTCCCGGTGTGTTTTCCGACAAGAATATGGCTGATTTAGGGGACGATACCGGTGCCCGGGCCTTGCTGGCACTGAAGTCTGCACCTTGCAGCCCGGTCCGAGTGGCGGTACCACCCGTGTACCCGCTTTCCTCGAATCCGGTTGGGATCACACCCATTCCCCTCTCTTCTCCTCCGAGGGCCCTAGCCCGCCTGGAAGGCAGGGACTTCGAGTTTGTGATGCGGCAGAGGACGGTGACCGTGGGCCGGAACTCCTCGCACGGCTCCGTGGATGTCAACATGGGCCACTCAAGTTTCATCTCCAGGCGACACTTGCAGATTACTTTCGAAGAACCGTTTTTCTACCTACGCTGTCTGGGAAAGAATGGTGTTTTCGTGGACGGTGTGTTCCAGAGGAGAGGGGCTCCTCCACTTCAGCTACCTAGAGAGTAAGTAATCAGTCAGCGATGTGCTTAAATACTAAGTAATTAAAAGTCGCGGAAACACTGAAAAGTAAAAGTATGTGGTCGAAGTCTGCAAAAGTGCGGTTGCCCATATGCGTGAATTATATTTCGTGAAACATGAGCGTGGTATGCCTTCTTATAAAGGCCTATAAACATGACATTTACTTTAAACTATTTTACCTTGGATTCTGACCTTGGCATGATACTGTATCTGCATGTTTTCTAAGATGTTTGCAATTTGTTAAACACAAAAAGGCATCCAAAAGAAGAAGAACAATGTTTTCTAAGTGACATAGTTCGTTTCTGATATTTTTGGTATTGTGTAGGATATTACTGAATATTGTTTTTCAGAACTTTAAATCTGCGCTAATGTGCTGTATCATTTCTTGGATAGGTTCAAAATGGTAATAATTAAGAGTAATTATAACTTTGAGTTAGTAAAGTAACCGATTTCCTTTACTGACATTTCAGTGATAAATGTTGAACTTATTTTGTTACTATAAAAAAACCTCATAATTTCGTTCTCACATGCACAATCTCAAGTTTAAAAGAGGGTTTTCGTACTGTTAAAGTTGTTGACAATATATGAATTGCTCGACTTGAGGTTCCTGTCCAAATTTAACCTCTTGTGTTACAGCATACCCAATTTCCAGATAAAAGAAATTCAAACCAAAACTGTTACAGTGAAATCAAATTTCATTTTTTTATTGCAGAATGTAAGGCGTCTTATCATAACATACACACCTATTTTCCATGTGCTAATACAGGTTTTTCCTCTTCTACAGATTAGTTGTGAGGAAGGCCCGGCCTCTGTGGTTAATATAAAAAAGTTTGTATTACCTAGGCAAACAAGCGCTGGAATGCGAGCTACACATGCAAATATGTTGCAAAGCCGCATAAGTAAAAAAAAAATGCTTCAGATATCGGTACTGGTTTTGATTTCTCCCAGACTTATCAGTTTGCGCTGGGCTGTCAATACGTCACACCTCATGTTTCAACATGCTTAGCATTTTTAAATGTGCTTTCTATTGTATACAATTTGGACTTTCCATTTTGGAAGATGTTTTAAGTATCGTTTTTACCGTTTTTTCCCCCCGGTATTTTTGGAGAGGATAAATCCCGAAGGTAGCGTTACAAAAATAAGCTTTGGCGTTTGGCGTACACGTGAGGCTTGTACTTCAGTAGATAGGCCTCTTGCTGTGATGCCTGCGCGAATATAAACACGTGACGTCACACGAGCAACAGATGGGCTCTTGCTCAGGGAGTCCGAGGAAGAGACGTGCGACTGCTAACAACTGAAATGCCCTTCAGTTTTGCTTCCTCCCCCGCCACTCAGAATAATATTTTCCGAAATTTTAGATTTGACTTGCAGTGTATTTTGAAGCGTCTACCGATAGAGACAGGAGTGGAACTGTAATCACAACCGACGTTTTTCATCTGACTTCCCTGTTGTAGCACGAGAAGACCTTGGCGGTTCAGCGAATCTCTGATAAAGGAAACAAAGAAACAAATACTAGTTCCTTCATGTGCGTTATTAAGATGAAGTGTTTATTTACCAAAACATTAAACCGTAGAACTGCATTTCAGAAGATTTGATCAAAGCTATACTCATTGGGTTCGTTGGTCACCATCACTTAAATTTTCTTCTTGGGGTGTCTGTCCATACTGCAGTGAATTTAAGTTACTGCTTAACAGATGAGCTGGCATCCCTGAACTATCAAACCATTTTTGCACAATTGTGCAATTCGTCAGCTCAGCAGGAGAACCCATTCTATGCCTCAGGAAGTAGGAACCAAAACAATTTTTTCTTCTTCTTTGGTCTTCATTATTAGATGATTAAAAATCCCATTTATCCAGCACATTCACACATTACAACACAAATCTTGACCCATACAATTTTGACATTTTTTAAAAATAATGCCTTTAATATTCTATTCCTTGATAATATTGGCATTGTAACCCATGTTACAATGGTGAAACTGGACAGATTCTTTTAGAAGTGGTATTGGAGGAGTTACTGTAGAGGTCGGGTTCTGTTTGATTAATTATTAGTCTTTGTGCTCGTCGCACGATCTGCTCACTAAGCATTATGTAGATCTAAAGTTGTCAAGATGGGTCTGAACAGGTAGAAGATTATTTCTGAAATGAATTATTGTAGAGTCAGATGTTTTGTTTAAAATGTTTGACTTGCAAAGAATGTGGTATTACTTCATGTTTTGTCATGGTAAAAAGAAGTTTAGAGCAATGTGAAGGTTAACAAAATATTCTTTTAACACTGCAGAGTGTATGAAATGGTTAGAGACCTGTCGCATTACTGTGGCAACAAAGACCAACTGGAATTATTGTGCTAACTTGTCTAGTATATAGTGACTGTTTCGGTTTTTTTATATATCAACTAAATTGGAATTGTCTTTTCAGCATGCAGTAACTATCCCTATACACACACGGGATAGTGAGGAAAGAGCTTCTTCCCCCTACCTGCCCAAACTGCTTCTTTTTTGACAAGCGGGATTTGCAGTAATTGTACGGGAAGGCAGTGCCAATTGGAGGAACGGCGTACCTCTTGGTCAGGGAATTGCAAGGCTGCAGGCACCCATGAAGTCACAGAGGTCTCAGTTTCGCAGGGGGTTCAAGCCCATCTGCTAGTGGTGCTGACCCAGCTGTGTTCAGGGGAACCTAGAGGAGTCACGGTGAACTTGTGAAGTCCGCTGCTCTGTCCTGGAGGTCAGCTTGTGCTTTACATATCGAGCCACTTAGTAGCCTTGTGTGTTTACTTTTAATTCATCACCAGACAGCTCTTCATTTGTTTAACGGATACTGTGTTTTCTGGAGATGATAACAGAATGTAATTTCTCAAACTGTGCCCGAATAGAATCCCCCACCTCCTTGAACATCTGATTGTAGACTTTCCCACCCACCCCTATTTTCTAACCGCTTTATCGAGTACAGGTTTGAAGGGAAGCTGGAACCTAAGCTGGCAAGCAACAGGCACAAGGCAGGGTGCATCCTGGACAGGACGCCATACACACTCACACCAGGGCCAGAGGTGAATAAACCTACCAGTATGCCATTGGACAGTGGGAGGAAACCCATGCAAACACAGGGATAAAATACGAACTCCACGCAAATAGCACCCCAGGTCTGGAATTAAACCTAGGACACAAGACACCAGTGTTGTGAGAGAGCAATGCTAGCCACCCCCACACGACCAGATTGGCCTTATTAGATAGATAGATAAGACTTTATTGATCCCAAAGGGAAATTGATGATTATTACAGTGACCTTTAGCAGAATTTGAAACAACAAGAAAGTTTTTAGGATGACTGAATTATTGGTTCATCTTTTAGAATTAAATGTATTCCTGATGTCCATTTTGTAAACTAACATTCATGTTGTTATGCCTGGGAGTGCTACTGTAGCAATTCAATTATTTATTTGCAGAAGGGACAACTGTCTTTACTTCGTGTTCTTCTAAAAGCCAAAGATGTTACAAAATCCAGACTGCCACAATGTTTATTGGTTGATTTTGTTTTTACTGTTAACAAGAAGTTGAGGATCTAAAATCTTTGTTGATGTCACTGCTTCCAGCTAACTTATGTTATCATTTCCTTCAGTTGTATTGTTTACTCTTGATGCCAAAAATACTCTCTGGGCATTCAGGTCAGGTTAGAAATTAAAGATAAGAAAAAGATAAAATCATAAAAATGGAAGGAATGCTCTTCATGAAAGATAGATCTGATGGAGCTACAGAAATGAAAAGTAACTGCATTACTCTTAATTCAGTTTTAGGGAACTAGATCAGGCTATATTTATGTACATAGGTTGCACATCCTACAGTCAGTGAAAAGTTAGGAGCTTAACTTTTTAAAGAAATTTAGAATTGCCCGATTTTTCTCAAATTATGATTTGAAATAACCACTTGGGTTTTTCACCTCTAAGTTCATGAATGACCATGAACCATTTGACCTTGCTTAGGGAAGAATGTGGAAATGTCTGCGGACTCTTCTGCCGTGCCCACCATGATCGAGCGGATCATTTTATAACATAGTTGCAGGCTATATTGATTTGTCCAGGAGACTCAGTACAGATTGGAGGAGAGGCACGCCCCTTACTGACAGCACCCCATGATTGCAAATATCCTGGAGGCCTGTGGCCAAATGAGCCAAGACATCAACAGCACTCAGCCAGTTGGGCGTTTTACCATTGGGGAGTCCTGATTACAGTCACTAGTGACATCACCCAGACTCGAACCCACATTCAAGAGCACCTTGCTCAACCTGTGCTCCGATGAGCACTGTTACTGGTTGAATTGCTCTGGTGCCTTGGGAGCCTGGAATATAATTCACTTGAAATAACAATACCCAAGAATTAAGTGTACTGAAAGGATTATTGTTTAGTCAAAATTTGGCTTAACTGCATGGCTAAGGGCTAAGTTCCTGGCCATAGGTTGAGAATACTGGGACCCCCATGCAGAGTGAGGAGTGACCAAGGGGCAGCTGCAAGGTGACATGGGCTGGAGGTTAGATGCAAAGGTATCTATGTGAGGAAAAGAAGGGTATCATGTAAAGTATTTATAGTGTTTTGGAGAGGCAATAACATTAGCAGTGATTGCTAATTACTGACAGCTGAGTCAGATTGAACTTGGTTGTTGTCATTTCTCATGAACTTTCACTACAAACTCTATTAAAATAGTTTTACCTGTAAGCTCTTTTCAGGAAGCTCAAAGTGCTGTACAGTAGGAGACATAATAACACAACAAAAGAAGAGAAAAAATGGCCAATTGATAAAATAAGACTATAAAGTGTGGCCTTTAAGTGAGGTTTAATAATGTCCAAAGTTTGAACAATGAGTTTAGTAGATGATCTGCTGCCCCCAAGAAGACTGTCACCAGTTGTCTTATTTGTAGAATAAGATATGTTGATTCAAGCCTTAGTTTTATTTTTTTGGTTTAGCTTTCTTAGCACCCGCAGTAAGACCTTATGTAA